TCAATTTAAAGAGCCTAAATACACATTACCATAACACTGCAGATTAAAGTGGATATAATTAAAATGAGGATCCGAGATAAAATTCATGCTTTATCATTGATTTCACTGTGTGATCTTGGGCAAGTTACTCGGCTTTTCTGAGCTGCAATTTCCTTAGCAATAGAAAAAGGATGCCATTATTTGCTTCATAGAATTGCAATTATGTTTAACTTACCTAAACTATGTGAAAGCATTTAGCAAACTATAAAAAGTTATATATGTATCAGTTATTAATTAATGCTTAACAGACTCTGAAGGGGTAAGGACAGCAGTTATTATTTTTTAAAATTTACTATAAAGATGTGGGGTACAATTCAGGGTTAGGTATACAAATATTGATCATGCATGTACCTGTGTTGATGAGGTATGCCCCTCCTTCCCCTAGCAGTTCCCTCAAGTGCCAGTCCCACACCCCGTCCCCTGACAGTTTTCCACTACTGCCAATTGCTTTCTTATAGCATTATAATTGTTCAAGGTCATCTTATGAGTGAGAACATATGGAACTCAGTTCTTTGTTTCTGTGATAAATCACTGAGTATGATTGACTCCAAATCCATCTAATTTTCTGCACAGTCCATATATTTGTCCTTCTTTATGGCTGCATAATATTCCATTGTGTATATGACAGCAGTTATTATTTCTTTTTCAGAAATAAGTATTGAAAATCGACAAGAAACTAGTTTGGTATTCTGTATTAAGGATACACAAATTGGTTTACTCAAATTTTAATACAATTTGGGGTTAAAAATTAGAATGGGCACAAGTTATCTTTATTGTTGGGGTTTTTCCAGAATAATTTACCAATTTCTTTTTATCATTCTTGCTTTAACTATCAGAAGACAACACATGTGCTATCTGTTCCACCAATCCTGCTCTTGTGTCTATATTAAGCATTTCTATTTGGTCTTGGCAGTAATGCTTGCTTAGCCCTGGTGTGCCTTATACTCTTGGCATCAAAATTGCCAGATACTACTGCCAACTGATTAGAGCTGACAAATAAGTTGGAAAATATTTTTCAACCCTGATATACTCACTACATTATATAAGATCTTTTTCCCCCAGTTTTAACATCTGAGAAAATAGGATACATCTTACAATTGATGATACCTTAAAATTAACTGACAGTGTGTATGTGTGTGTGTATGTCTAACAGATACACACGTGTGTTGGTATTGTCATATACAAATGTACATCTTAAAACTTACTTATAATGTTCAAATAAACTGGTGGCACATCTATAGTAAATATGAAAACTAGGACACAAGAAAAGGGCATAAGATCCAGCCAACATATTTCAAATCTCATTAGGTAGTAAAATATGGTGATAATTCCAGTTTTCTCATTAATACTCAAGCCACTTCTCTTTTTTGATCTTTGATTTCTTAGACTTTTAATAGTGCTTTATGAAGTTCATTTAGAATTAACTATTTAGTGATTCTGTTCCTTTAGATAGACCAATATAATATAGTTTGCTTGCTGCAGGATCATCTGGAGAACTTAATAAATACACAGATTCCCATGTACCATGCAAGGCATTGAATAATAATCACAGAGGTGGGGTGTTGAATCTGCATTTTAAATAATTATTCAGGTGACAGTTATACACAAAAAACTGAGCACTTTTCTTTAGGTAAGAAGAAACAAACTGCATTGGGAAACAGTGGTGTTAGAGTCAACCATGTAGATGAATGGAGTTCTAATTAAAAAACTTATTTGCTCTATGCCTTGGGGAATGTCTCTTCTCTTCTCATTGCCTTTGTTACCACATCTCTAAGATGAAAGTTTGGATCCAGTGATTTCTAAAATTTCTTCCTACCCTAAACATCTGAATTGTCATAAACCAAGACTGTCCTGCCAAGTCTGCGGTCTCTCCTCTACTCAAATAAGAAGAACTGAGAGGGCACCACACTTTCAGATGGCACTAGGACTGCTGTGTCTCTTCTGCATGGCTGGAAGGAGGGTGGGAGTTTCAATGACAGGTAGAAGGCGTTAAAACTAACATTAAGAACATGCCTACTCAAGTCTGATCCAGTCATGATTTCCTCCAACACCCAAGTCATTTTTCTTATGCCAAGACATTCTCTGTGATGAAACATCTAATGGGAGAATATAGTCAGGAATCTAAATTATACACTTTTATAGACATCACATTCCTTTGAAAAGATTGTTCAAGTTAAACACAAAGCATGTTCCCAGACTTTTGGAATTCAAGTTGTAGTAAAATGTTCCCTGTAAAAGTAAATGACTAATATGCTGTCAACTCGTTAACTTGCCAAGGAGGTACATCAAATAATATAATAAAATCATAACAGTTAAATGAAACTACTATTTGCCATAGCACTTTTATGGTAAATAAAGATATCTAGTCAACATCTCAGGACTCCTGACTCTATGAGGAGGGAGTTTTCCATGGGTCCATACTACTTTTAATCAGCATCAGAATACAGTTGTGCGTTTGAAAGAACTTTGAGCAGTATGATTTTCTATGCAAATGTAAGGTAGTGTTTACTATCTTCACTTCTTAAGCAAATAATATGACAGAAGTTTCAAATAAGATAACTTTACTGCGTGTCTCCACACGTGGAAAAATTTTGAAACTGTAAGGAAAAAGTGGCAGAGTGAGCAGAACTTACTGTATTGGTTCAGATAAGAAATGTTGAGAATTGGTCGGTAGTACATTTGGAATTGGTGAATAAAACTTGAGGGAAACAACAACAAAAACACATATAGAAGGTAACACAAGAAAAAAAAGGTAACAATCTGAGGGCAGGTTGGGGAAGCCAAAGAATGATGCTATCATGAAAAATGAAAAATCAGAATGCAAAACTAGTTTGGAAGGAATGATAGAGTTATATTTTACACATAAGTGAGTCTTCAGTATAAATCAAATTATTGACTAAAGCACATAAAGGTGTTTTATATGCTTATGAGAATCAAGAATTAGAGTTTAGGATATTGATAAAACTCAAGTGAAAAATTCTGGGAGCTGTCAGAACAAGCTGGGAAAATATATACCCTTAGATACAGGAAAATCAAGAGTATTAAACGATCTTGACATAAATAGTACTCAGGAAAAAAGAAAATACAGCAAGAAAGAGAAGAAAGAACCAGAAAACTGACATTTTCAACAGCCTGGTGAAGTTTCAAAAAGGCTGGAGTGATCATATCATAAGGAAACCATGTAAGTTTTATAAATAGTCAATGAGTGTGCCTGAAAGACTTCATTTCTCAGATCAGTTTCAGCAAAGTAGAAGGGCCAAAAAAGCAGGGGAGGGGAAGTCAAGGCAGGAAGGGTTAAAGAAAATTGGTGTGATAATGAATGAAAATGATTTAACTACACAGGTAGTGTTTTTCAGTAAAGGAAAAAAGATGACATTCTACTGCTCAGTTTTGTGTGTGTGATTATAAATTTTCATTGACTTTATTTGTAAGCCTAAAATGATAGACCAAAATATTAATGATCTTGAATCTTTAATTGACTTAACGACCATATAAGTTCACTTTTACAATTAAGATAATGATTTTATGTTTACTATTAGCAAAAACAACTAATCTGGGTACTAAAATTATTGCATTCTAAAATACTTGAGAAGGTACAGTTCTTTGAAGAACCACAAGGTGTCAAGCTTGAACATTGATTGGCACCCATGTGCTTAAGTATAGTCTCTGGAGGTTGAGATATCTAAGGAGATAAATGATGTTTTTTGTGAAATCCGACATTAACCTAAACAATATTTTAAAAAAGGAAAAATAAATAAATAAATAAAACTTACTAAAAGGAAATGAGCAATAATGGGCTCCCAAAATTTTAGAATGTGATATAATTTACAATGCTGGTTTTTATGATAGCAATCTTTCACATACTTGATATAACTAGTTCTTACAAAGTTTTTCACTACAGCAACTCTAAAAGATAGGTATTACCCTGTTAAGTATGAAGAAATTTAAATTCAGAGCATGGAAGTATTTGCACAATATAGTGCAGTTAATAAGTGAGCGACACAAAATTCAAATCCCTATCAGTCTAATTCCATTTATAAGGCAACCCCTCAAAAGTGCAGTAGCACTGGGGTACTTTAATTATAGTCAGAAGGATTTCAGCTCTTGTGAGTCTGCTAAATGACTCATTGAGGAAACTTGGAAAAAACCAAGGGTAATCCTACCTTCACACCCAGTTTAGGCTTGCTTTGACTTCCACTGAGATGCCAGTTGTTTGAAATTTATTTAAAGGAGTCCAAAGCAAAAATATAAAAGAGTAAAGGAAATTTAAGCAGAGAAAAGGCATGACAGTCAGAAATCTTAGTTTACTTCTGCTCAAGTTGTGAAACCAGTGTTTGCTGTCTAGTTCTAACCCTGATATTCCCTTGCCTTGCAAAAAGTACTTCTGGATAATTTTCAGAGGTATTTTGTACCTTCTGCAATCCCTGGGGCACATAGAGAATGACCTACTTCTGCCCCCAGCCACCACGCTAAAATTTCTCATACAGTGATTGAAGAAGGCTCTGTAGGTGTAAATAGGCAACATTTGGGCAAAAGTTGCTATTTCTGTCACTCAACCAAATGACTAAGGACATAAGGTCTTTATTTAAGTTGCTTAACTGAAAGTAGTTACTGCTAAATCTTGAAGCACCAAAACTGGAAGGACTCTCAGAGACCATCTAGTCTCATGGTGTTAACCATTTCGTATGAGTTAATTACACGTTTCAGAATTATAGTTAGGCTAGAACTGTGATGAAAAGGCTACTTTCTGCATTCTTAACCCGGAACTATTTCAAATATTCTGCATTGACTCTTTGCAACTCTTATACAACCACAATTGATTCTTATAAAAACCCTGGAAATCTGGAAACGGAGCATTGCTAGCATTTTTTGTTTGTTTCTTGGTTAAGAAAACTGAGTCACAAACTCAGGGCTTTGTTCAAGATAACACAGCTAGTCAATGGCAGAGCAAGTTCTATAGCATGATTCTTACTTCAGAGATTGTAGAAGGCCACTACAATTTAAAAGTATGGTACATATCCATTCTATGGAAGTTTCTTCTTATGCCAGTTGATTGATTTGGTCTTATTTATGGAAATCCTTTGCTATTTTTAGTCATCTTCTGAGGGACAGAGACTTTCCTGAAGTCCAGTATTCTCATCTGTCACCTGGTTAATATAGTATTGCTTAATATACTTCTCAGGGTCAATGCTAGGCTCAAGTGAGGTAGTCTATATGAACGTAGTTTGAATATTATAAAGCCATTAACAAACAAAAAACAGTATTATTGTAATGATACAAAGATAGAGATAAAGCAAATTTCTTCTGTCCATTTGTAAATGTCACTTCATCCCACAACAGCTGATATTTGGAGAGACTCAATATAATCTATTGAATATTGTCAGTATACTTGGAATAATGGCTCAAATATCATTTGCACACCAAATATTAATTAAATTAATATTGTGTTGAAAAGAATCTTAAAGTGAATTCTGAGAGACCACTATAACCGAGAGGCTACTTTAGTGGCACTGGCTCTATTCTTCTACAGAGCCCATGAAGATAATTATTAATCAGTCATAACATATGCTCTTAACAAGTCTGACATTAGCTTAGGTTGCTATTACTAAATTATTGTAGCAGGTACAAAAGGTTCAAATTCTACAAACAGACTCTAAGAGTAAATTAATGCAAAGGCATTAGAACTTTGTTTTCACAGAATAAAAATTGAATGTTACAGCCTCAGGGAATACTAACAAGCCATAAGGTAATGTCTGGGGGTCTTCTACAATTAATCATCTATATTTTTCTGGCAATGCAGAAGAAGTGCTATTAAAATACATTAATATAGTTTTTAAAAAGTTTTTTCATGACCAAAAACTCTCTTAATTGGAACAATTTGTTAGAGGAAAAAAACTTACCTATATAGCATTTGATGACATTTTATTTACTCCAGAATACAGGATTCTTTACTCCCATATTGTAATGAGTTTCCTGTGCCTCAAATAAAAAACTTCAGTTACATTTAACATATGGGGAGCTATTTTCTATTTCTGGATGGTTTATGTCAAAACTATATATATATATAACATATGTTATATATAAATATATAATATATATATAGCTTTTAAAGTTTGCAGTATAAACTGTCTATTTGGAGGGACAGTTTTCCTTAGATAGAACACAATGATGACACTGCAACTGTGCTTTCTTTGGTAGATCAACTGTAATGAGTTCAGTGACCCCAAGACCTACTGCACTCGAGAATCTAACCCTCACTGTGGCTCTGATGGCCAGACATATGGCAATAAATGTGCTTTCTGTAAGGCAGTAGTGTAAGTATTATATTCATCATACCTGTCCTTTGCAAATGCAAACTTCCAGAATAAGATTAAGACACTACTTTCCTTAAGGTGTTCTAGAAAGTACCTGTACCTACCCATAGAAACTGAAGAAATAAACTTTAGGCAATGAATCAAAAACAAATGAATCAAAAGCAACAAAAAATTATACACTAAATTGCTTTGTGATTATTTTGATTTGTCTTAAGAACTTAAAAAATTTATATTTTAATCCTTTAAATGTAATTATTTATCTTTAATAATTTTGACATGTTTTCTAATTTTTTCATTTATTTATAATTTAAAATTTTTATATCAATACACAATGAACACATGTCTACCTTTATATATAACACATCTGACTAATTAATACCAAACTCTTCTCATTAGAAAGTTAGTAGGGTGAGATTTGAATTAATGGACACACATTACTGAGAAGACCAGAATGTGTGGCTGGCAGTAAAATGTCAAGTGTTTGAATATTTGGTCAACTTACATCTTCTGTCAGAATAGAACCAAAATATTATAGTCTCTTTGCCATTATTTTTCTTGCTACTTCTATCTTTTCCAGTTGCCTAGATAGTTACTCTCAGAGAATGAGCACTTGGTACCAAAAAGTCTAACATTTATCAAAACTCAGATTCGTTTACAATCCATGCTTTCATAGTTGGCCAGATATCACTTCTGAGTACACTTAATTAATCTCTGCTGAATAATAGACATGGCTGTTTATGGAAAAATATAGTTGGCTAGACCAACCATAGTTAAACTTGTTTCCAACCTCTGTGGTGAGTACTTAATGGCATTGTACTAAGCATATATTTGTTTTTCTTTTTTTAGGAAAAGTGGTGGGAAGATTAACCTAAAGCATCCTGGAAAATGCTGAATTAGAGTTAACGTTTTGTGTTCGCTTGCCAGCTCTTTCATTCTTCTTTCATAATTTCTGCTCATACTTTTCTCTATCAAATTCCTTGGACTCTTAAAGACATACCTTCTGCTCTGCCTGGGTCTTGAGGAGTTCAATGTATGTCTATTTCCCTTGATGCCTTTGTCAATAAAGTATGTTATGCAGAACACTGCTTGCGTTTGTACTTTGAGATCAAGAAAATATGCATATACAACATAGAAAAATTGACTTAGCTTATACTTGAATCAAAAAATCTGTTTTCCTGATCTAAATAAATCATCCAGCCTCTGTGGGATCTTGGGAAGATCTCTTTCGTTCCCTCATTCTTAGAATCTCCATCTGGACAATGAATGATTTTGACAACATGACCATATGATATACCTATTCTTATTTTAAAATATACAGCCTTTAAGTATTAGATCACATAATATTGATTTTTTTCAATTTCAGGAAAGTATTTTGCTGTATTATTATTATTTTTATAATCAGTATTTTTTATTATGATACTGTGGGGTACAGTTAAGGGTTAGGTATACAAATATGCTTTGTTCAGGCACCCTTGTTGATAAGAGGTGTGTCCCCGTCCCCAGACAGATATTTACTACCATTAATCCCATCTCCTTTCTCCTCCCACCCATAGTTTCCCACCACTGAGTAAAGGTCTCACTGTGCGCCCAGACTGAAGTGCAATGGCATGATCATAGCTCACTTCAGTATCAGTCTTGATCCTTCCACTTCATTCTTCCAAGTAGCTGAGACGACTACAGGGATGCACTACCATGCCTGGCTAATTCCTTTTAAAAAAAATTTGTTGTAGAGATGAGATCTCACTATGCTGCCTAGGTTGATCTTGGACTTGTGGGCTCAAATAATCCTCTTATCTTGGCTTTCCAAAGTTCTGGGATTACAAGTGTGAGCCGCTGCACCTGGCCAGAAGAGTATTTTATACAAAAACAAAACATTTGTCCTCTATCGACCATAGTTTTCTCATCTATCTGGACTGATAAATTTGAACAATATAAAATCTAAAGACATACAGTATTTAGCTTCCCAGAAACAACACAGGGTCTACCAAATAGAAGTAAAGATAGAAGGTGGTAACAGTATAAGAAAAAGATTAAGCACAATATGTTAACATGGATGAGAAATGCAGAGGGAGGATTGATAGCTAATTGCAGTACTAAATCGGATAGAGACATTATTATTGGGAAGACCTAGAGGTGAGGAAATTGGCTAAACAAATATTTTGAAGAGCAATAGAAGCTGAGATACAGTTCTTAAGATTGTGTGCATGCCTGATTTGTTAAAGGTTCATTAAGGAATCATTAGTGGCTGAAGAGAACTGAGTGAGTGGACAAACAGCAGATAAGGTAAAAAAGGAATGAGCTGAAATCATGAAAGATTTAGTAGTTATCATTAAGATATTGTCCTTTTTCTTGATGCATAAAGCCTTTCTTTCTTTCTTTCTTTCTTTCTTTCTTTCTTTCTTTCTTTCTTTCTTTCTTTCTTTCTTTCTTTCTTTCGAGCATTGACCTGTCTTTTAATAAGAAATTGTAAAAGGTTATAAAAGATTTACAAAAATCTTACTTTATGGCATATGGATTAAAATTATAAGGTTTTATTACAATTAGTTTTGATGCTAATAAGACACTAATGTAAAAATAAAATTTAGCTTTCCCTTTGAAACAAAATTTTCATGTAATTTCAAGAGACTATGAAAGATTTTTGTTTACCTTTTGAGTAAACTATATATATGAGAAGGACAGATTTAGTTGCCTTTATGCTATTTTTCTTAGTTCTTTTTGTTTAAGAAGATTAATCTTATCCATAAAAGAGTAGAGATTTTTCTCTTAGAATCTTTGAATTATCATTTGGGTTAAATGTATGACTATTTTACAGTGACCTGTGATATTATTTATAACATCAAATGTTTTAAACCTTTGATCTTTGACAAACTTTCTGAAACCAAAAGTTCAAGCTCTGAACTCAGTTTTTTGACTGCATTAACTTTTTAGATAAAGAGTTACCCTGAATTCCAACAGATAAACATATGGCTGGTTTGGTATGCTGAAATCATGCGACAAACGTTGTCAAATATGAAAGGGTGCTAAACTTCCCTTGGGTTATACTTGTATGTGTTATTAGTATGTGTTCCAAGATTATATGATATTCTTATAATACGGATATGTTTTTGTATATGTTATCAGTAGTAATAATAATTATTATGTTAAGTTGCTGTATGCCACAGAAATGACTAAATTTCCTTGCCAATTGTGTCTTTGACAATGGCTGTTCTAAGACTTCTATCAGCCACTATTATTGTTTTGTTTTGATTTTTTTAAAAAAGCAGTTTATAATTAGATACAAATGCTCTTTGATGTAGGTTTCTGATAACTTTGAAGATTGTGCTATTATACAAGAAAGAAAAAGTCCTAGGTCCCCTACTACTGGAGAGTTTATGTGCTCATGAGGACTGCTGACCCAATATGGAGCAGAACAGGAGTTAATTTCATGGACTGAACTAATAGAAGACTGAAATAATTTAAAGTGTGTTTCTAACTGTAAATATTAAGAATATATTTCTGATTTTAAAATGTCAAATATATTTTATGCACATAGATGTTATCCTAGATGTATAAACTTGAAAAGGACTGACCTGAACAGACTGGTAGATTTATCTGATATCTAGATAAGCAAGGGAGTAGATTAGGTTATCCTAGGGAAACTAAAAACATGCTCTTCCTTGCTTAAAGACTATTCCTCCTTTACACGTCTTGGAGGACTGAAAAGAAAAAAAAAGATTACTCTTGATGAATAAAAATGAATATATAATACATAATTTGGTTGCAGCAATGACAAGAGGGTGATCTTCAAGTCACATGGACCTTAATGTGAATCATGGCTATGACATAGCCTAGGTAACGTTGAACGAGTCATTTTTACTTCTTTGTATCATTTCTTCATCTAAAAAATAGGGATAATAGCATCTATCTGCTCATTTTATGGTGAAGATTAAGGACATGATGCATGTAAAGCACTGAAACAGTCTCTAATTAATATGTGACAAGAACTAAACATTTAGGAACTTTTATGATTGTGCTTTGTCATTCGTTTATGCATTATACTTTCTTCACTGATCAGGATTTTTTTTTCTATTTCTCAACATATATATACACACACTTAATTTTTAAAATATCTATCTTTCTGATTACCAGTTTTGTAAATCCTCATCTTAATTTTTTTAATCCCCTGTCCTTTTTGTATCTGTAAACTAACTTCTATTCCTATTAGGGAAATTAAGGAGAAGAGATTTTCCCCTTTTCTCTTCCTTAATTTCTACTTCCTAAACAATTTAACTACTTCTAATTTGACATGTAGAAAATTATGTGTAGTTTAATAACAATCATTGTGCCTAGCACAGTGGCTCATACCTAGAATCCCAGCACTTTGGGAGGCTGAGGTGAGAGGATTGCCTGAGCTCATGGGCTCGAGACAAGCCTGGGCAACTTGACGAGATCTCATCTCTACAATAAATAAAAAAAAGTCATTAATAAGGCAAACATCAACAGATGCTGGTGAGCATGTGGAGATAAAGGAACGCTTCTACACTGCTGGTAGGAATGAAAACTGGTGCACCCTCTTTGGAAGATAGTGTGGCGATTTCTGAAAGAACTAGAAATTGACCTTCCATATGACCCAGCAATTCCCCTATTGGGAATGTACCTGGAGGAACTCAAATCATTCTACCAAAAAAGATACCTGTACACGTATGTTTGTTGCAGCTCTATTCACAATAGTAAAAACATGGAACCAACCGTGTTGCCCATCGAAGCTGGACTGAATTTAAAAAATGTGGTACATATACACGATGGAATATTATGCAGCCATAAAGGACAAATATATGGACTTTGCAGCAAATTGGATGGATTTGGAGTCGATCATACTCAGTGATATCAAAGAAACAAAGAACAGAGTTCCATATGTTCTCACTCATAAACAGCGCTTGAACAATTATAATGCTATAAGAAAGCGATTGGCAGTAGTGGGAAACTGTTGGGGGGTGGGATTGGCAGTTGAGGGAAACTACTAGGGGAAGGAGGGGCATACCTCATCAACAAGAGTACCTGCATGATCAGTGTTTATATACCTAACCCTGAAATGTACCCCACATCTTTATAATAAAAATTAAAAAAAAAAATGACTGGGCATGGTGTCACATGCCTGTAGTTCTAGCTATTTGGAAGACTGAGACAGGAGGAGAGCCAGAGCCCAGGAGGTCAAGGCTGTGGTGGCTGTGAGCGTGCCACTGACTCCAACCTGGGCAACAAAGTAAGACTCCAACTCAAAAACTAAAACAAAAACAAAAAACAATCACTGTTCATCTGTGAAGGTATTCTGTCTCCTGTTTCCTACTGGAACACTCCTCTCTAGCTGGGCCAGTTTCCTGCCAACTGCCTTCCACACAAAAAGTACATTGTCACCATGTTGCCCTTTTCTGCCTGAAACACCTCTTGGACCATCTACTTTGCACTGCCTCATAGTTTTTCCCTCATACAAATCACTTATTAGCATCTTAACTCTGTCATTTATTACAGGGATCATAGCTAAACCATCTCTTGCCCAGCTCTGAGCTATTCTTCAGTAATGAAAGAAAAAAAAAAGCATATAAAAATGTCACTGAGGACCAAAATTTTACATTTTGTAAAAAAAGAGGCAAATTACATACAAAAAACCCCATCAGTCAAACATAGGAATTTGGAATACAGACTTGTACACATTTGTCAAACATCAGTGAATACACACTTAAGATATATGCATATCAAAGTTTGCAAGTTTTACATTAAAAGATGACAATAGACATTTAGTAAAGTTATAACTGTGACATGCATAATGAAGTTTTAGAAGAAAGGGTACTGATGTCTGCAATTTACTTTGGATTGGATCAAAGATGGATTAATGAATAGATTTTGTATGCATAT